CCCAAAGGTGGGGAGACGTTGAGCTGTAAAGAAAAGATAGGGTACAGAGAAAGGAGCAGGAAAGCAGCAGAGAGGGAGGAAGAGGGAGATGAGTAGAGAACTAGAAAAGGGAGGAGCTACGAGCATGGGAAGAGAGGAAAGAAGCAAAAGAGAAGCAGCAGCCAAGAAAAAAAGGAAATAAAGGAGAACAGGAAAGAGAAAGCACAACCTGGGGGAAGAATGATCTAAGGCAAAGCCATGATGGAAGCTGGTGAGATGTGTGAGTAGGACCACAGTTCTCACTGGGGCTTGGGAAAGAAGAAGGGATGGACGAGAGAGGGCGTTCCTGTCCTCTGTTTTCTCTCTGTATGTACCTAGTGGAAGTAAGCCTGGTTACAGAGAATATGAGGTAGTGCTCCAAACTTGGACTCTGGAACAACATTACTTAACTGTGTCATAGTTTTATGATCTTGAACACACTGCATAGCTCCTTGATGCCTTAGTTGTTTTATCTGCTCCATGGGGACATTTGTGGCAATTCATTAACTTAGTATGTTTTTACAAGGACAGTTCATGGGTAGTATCTAAATAGTAAGTATGATATTTGTAATACTGGGTATATAAAACCTATAATTAAATCATTCAGTTATCAAAATCATTAATTTGAAGAGAGGAGCACCCTGTTCTGTGGGACTTGGTGGCATATGGAGAGGGTCTGATCTGCTTCTCTACATTCCCTCTAGGATTAGGGGTCCAGGAGGCAAGGTCTCAGCTGGAGCAAGTTAACAAAGATTTGTTCTTGAATACCTGGAAGCATCCCTAGCTTCTTTCCCTATAAAATGGAAGGAGTGGAGATTTTTTATCACATGGTTGTTATAAGGATTATATAAGTGTCTAGCATATAGTAAGTGCTCAATTAATATTAATTATAGCTTATTACTTCCAGTTTATACCCAATTATTTTTCTCATAGCTATTTTTGTTAGATGTTCATGATGTGAATTCCAATCTTGCTTTGCACTTAAGTCATTAATAATTCTCTTCTATAAACCCACAGGAAGTAATGAACTCAAAGCTTCTAGGTTTGTCAAAGGAAACCCTTTCACAGTGTAAGAACAGTACTATTCCATGCACTTACTTTGCTCTGTATTTCCTCTTGCAGCCTTCTACCTTTATTCCAGTACAGTATCACCAGAAATATATTTATATTTAAAGATATCCCATCCAATGTTGAGAAAAGAAGTTAAATATTTCATAAGGCATTTTAATATTTGAGGATTTTGTGGTATCAGAGTTAACACTGCCTGAAACCCCTGTACTTTTTCTTCCTTGGTTGCTCTAAAAGAGCAAGTCGTCTGTTCTCCTCTGGATTGGATTTTGTAGGCAGGAAGATAGATGAATAAGGCAGTAGCACTGAGAGCACACTACCTTTAACTTTCCAGCACTTTTTCTGAGCCTTGGGATCTCGGTGGCTTGTTAGGTGCATATACAGCGAGGTAGTTGGGAAAAGGCAAATTGCCTGTAAGTGCTACTGCCCCAAACTATACATTAGACTTTTCATATGGGAAAGTATAAGTATCACAATTATGTATAAAAATATAGGCTTTAAATCTCTATGTTGGTAGATACACATACCAAATCACGTGTATAGTTTTGCTAGATGTTTAATGAGTGGCAAGAAATCTACACAAAAGGAAGCGATTAAGCAGTAGTGTGGGTTGGGGCAGCCCTGAGGCCTGTGGACTGTCACCTGCCTTGTAGCCTCAGAGAGTCTGACAGAGAGGCAGAGAGAGGTAATGGAAGAAGGGCCAGAAAGGGACAAGGAAGCTGGATTAGAAAATGACAGGAAAGATACTGAGCAGATGCATTAGTAGAGGTTTTGCACAACAAAGACTAGAATGTGGCCTTTCAAAGGTTTATAATTCAGCTTGTGTTTGTGAGTTGAGTGTGCATAAAATGTGCTTTTTATGTAGTGCAGTGGCAGCGCTGGGTTGTATCATAAAGAAAATTGATTGTTATAACCTTTGATCCTCTAGGTAAGCAAGCATGAACTCCGAATACTAAAAAAAATACCCAGATAGGTCAGTACTAAGAATAGTAACAGATTTGGATCCAGACAGAATTCTGAAATAGGTATGTTTTTACAAAATCCAGGAAAAATCCTACTTTTATTGATTGCAGAACTTTTTTTAATAATTAAAATCACTTGACTTCAGTAAGCCAATGTTTAGACATGCTTTATATTCTGTTAAATTTTTTGCCCCAATGACATTTATTTCAGTATTCCTAATCATATCTCGCAATGTCTTTTATACATACTAGACATTTAGGAGACAATGTGTTAAGCAAAATATATGATCTATATTTGTGCTAGAATTTGACCTATGTTTCAAAATAAAGTTTACTTTATATTTTGCCATGTTCTTGTTTATGTCCTCCTCATGTTCCTTCATTCACATGAATAGGACCTTGATGGAGCTTCTGAGATGATCAACGACATTAATTATATAGGCCTAAAAGTGAATCTACAGGATCTATTTACTAGGTGGTACTTTTTTGGTCTTTCTAAGAAAGAATCTTGCCACGTGTTGAAGCTATACACAGAACCAAAAAGCACTATCAAAAACTAAGTTCTCCCTAAGAGGGAGCGAAGTTCTAAGGATTTTTCTTAACTACAAGTTTGGAATGCTGGATTTGTCAAATTTCTGCTTACTGCTGGCAAGAAAACCATTTAGAAAATATTGGACAGGATGAGATAGAATTCAGAAGAAATCCAGAACAGAGACTTAAAACAGTTTCTACTTCCTTGATATTAAACAGCCTTATTTTGCTGTCTAACTGGACTAGACAGAGATATTATCCAGAGAATTCCATCCCAATCTCATGGTTTTTGTTAAATCTGCATCTCACAATTTTCAGCTAAGTGTATAGTCATGTTTCTGTTAGGAAATCTGACACATATTGTTTAATACTCTTTGTCTAAGAATATAAATACTGTGAAATACAATTTTTAATCTTACAATGATCAACCACCTAGAATATTCTTTTCTGATAAACTTCCATAGCAAATAGACACCATTTCTGTAAGTCCTTCTGGTCAGCAAAAAGTCTCCTAATTTTTCATAAAATTTTCCTTGTAAGCGTATCAGGCCTTAGGAGTTGAGTTTTAGCAGACCTTGGCCTTACTTTTCCCAAACCTAATGTACATATCTGGAAGGCCTTGTGATATACATCAAGTCAGGTATAAATTTGTGGGATATTCTGAGCCCTACGTAGTTTAATAGAAAAAGGAGTTTGAAGAATGCTATTTTGAAAAAGAGCAACGGTATATTGATAACAAAATATAGATAACATCTCCATTGAAAAAGTCAAGAATTGGAGAGGAAATGAAAAACATAACTCCTAAATTTATAAAATCACAGGGAAATTGAAGTACTTAATTGATTGATAAATGTATGACAAAGGGCAAAATGAAAATTTGACACAGATTCTTCATGTTTAGAAAAATTATGAGAAAATTAGTAAAAAGCTTAATTTGACAGAAAATAAATTTGATAAGGGAATGCTTTGTGTGAAATTCATTAAATCACCTCTGTTTTATCTAATCTAGAAGAAACTCTTCTGTGAGTTGACCAGAGGACGCCTCAATGGTTTTACTAGTTCAGGAATGGAAACTAGGGCTTGGTGTACATTAAAGATCACAGTTTAGCCAATTGAGACTGCCTGGCTCTAAGTTTCTGTTTAAGGTATCTCTAATATGATATTTCTTAATGGTTTCACCAAAACTATCAGATTAGGAGAGATGTTTAAAGCATTTCCAAGGGGAAAATCAGGTATTTGTGAAATCTCCTGGTGATGTGTATTCTGGGACTTGACACAGTGCGATGTTTTGACAGAGAAAGCTTTGGAGCATTTGTGAATAAGGAAACACAGTACTCCATTGCCTACACTGGTAGAGCTCTGTGGACGTTGCTAAGGTGCAGAGCAGGCGGCACAGTCTGAGCTGACTATGGGCTGTGAGCATATCTCTGCTCTCCCCATTCACTAGACAGCGTATGTTTCTAAGTGTCATGTTTTTGTGACTTTATCCTTACTACTCTCCTAGATCCCATTTTTCTTTTCTTTTTCTGATAATTCTTTTGTCAAATCAATTACTTGAACTAAAGTTAATGGATTTTAAAGAATTATCTAGTTGGATGCCTCATAACAAAACCTATCTTCTGAGAAGTATGGTAAAATGAATTTTTACCTACTTTTACTTTGGTCTTAAGATATGCTTAGGCGTCGAAAACCTTAATCAAAACTAATTGAAAGCCAAAGCTGAAAAGTGGTTTAAGTTTCACAGGGAAATACCTGTTAAGCCAAGTAAAAATGTGGAACCTTGCCTTTCTCCTTTTGACCTCCAGGTGGTGCTGTTTACCTAGACATGGAAGGCAAGAGCCCAGCCCCGTTCTTCCTCTTAGTTTTGTTAGCTGGGTTTTCATTTTTTCAAAATATTTTTCATTTCCACAGATGTGTACTTTTAAATGGTCAATAAAATTTTATAACCACTATTTGAAAACTTGCAAGATTGTTGCGATTTCTGCTTCCTAGGCAAAATATTTCTTTACGTCCATATAACCCCAGCGTCGCGGGTTTGCATTTGTTCGTTAGTGCCACTCTTCTGTTCTTTTCTTCCAGCACCCAGGCCCAACCACAGACATTTGGATGTCAATAGAACTCATCCAGGTGCCTTGAAACACTTAAGTGACTTAACCATGTATTTCCACTTTAACTAAGGTAACTCAATTCCATAGGCTTCTAAGTGAAAAACAGCATCTTTATGGAAATACTTTGATTCCTCTAAAGCCAGGCAAAGCGGCTAGAAGACCTGACCTGGTAACACTAGGATGGCGGTGTAGTGGTATTGGTCTCATTATGGGTGAAGCTTAGAATTTTAAAGATTGATTTTAAATGAACCCAAATAATATCTTTCTTACCCTTTTTCTGCCTCTTTTTTTTTTTTTTTTTTTCTCTCACAAGGGGTTTGTAAACAAGCTGGATGAATTCATTCAATGGTTAAATGAAGCCATGGAAACCACTGAAAATTGGACTCCCCCCAAGGCAGAGACCGACGGCCTTAAACTCTACCTGGAGACGCACTTGGTAGGCAAGACTGTGTTGCTCTTGCTATAAGTAATTGGGGGATTTTAATGTGCTGCTTGTCTATGCAAAATACCAATTTTAGTTATCAAAAGTCATTATATGCTAATGAATCTAAGTTTTTAATAGAACAAACTACAAAAGCTGAAATTTTGCAGGTATTTCAAGTAATAGTATGAAACCAAATCCTCCCTCTTTCAAGCTGATTTTTCAAAGCTTTTTCTGAGCAAAGCATGTAAATATTCAAAAACACCTTAGATAAATTTGCTCAACCCTTACCCTCTGGGTGACAGTCGAAGTTCTTCTCTTTTTTATAAAAATGAATTAAAGAGACAATTTTGATGACCATCCTAAGCTTTCCAGAATTCTTGTAAAATTAATGAGCCTTTCATTATCAAGAGGGTCTTCTTTTTCTGTTCTACACTGGGTTATTTTAATAAAATATTTAAAATGATGATTTCCATTATTTTTGCTGCTATGTGGATTTTTTTCAGCAGCTAATTAATACAACTGTCATTATACCCGTCCCTGTGCGCAGAGAAACCTACGGAGGGGAAGTGGAAAACACTTGGAGGAATACGCTTCTGAGTGTGTTAAAAGCAAGAATTATAGACTGAGGGACATTTGATGAACCTCATGAGGATTTTACTGAACGCTTCAAATGGCTGATATCAATTATAAAGGGGTGGAAACTACGAAGCAAAGTGTGCTAAAGCATGAAGAAAAAGCACGTGGTCGTAGGAAATGAAAATTCAAGCTTTGAGCATCTCATCTCTGTTCCTTTCCCTGATAGCATAAAATTGACGAAGGCAATGAACGCAAATCCTTGAGTGCCCGACTGCGGGCTTGCTAGTCTACCCCTCTTAAAGATTCATGCATTTAGATCAAGTAAATGCTATGTGGTAGCTCTGCATGTGTGGAATCTCACAGGCTTCCGAAACTATTGTCTCTGATCTTATGTGGGATTTGGAAGGGAAAGACTTGGGTAAGCAAAAAAGAAGGTAGAATGAAAGAAAGAAAATGTTTTAGCTTGTTGGCTTGGTGTTTTGTGGTGTGATTTATATCATTGTAAGAAAAACAGCCTAAAAATCCTGTTGCTACAGGCAGATAGCTGTGTGAATGAGAAAGAATGGTAAAATGGGACAAGTATTACTTCCTTTTTTAGAGACTGGAGTTGCTGATGTATAAAAATGTCAGTGACCCTAACCACCTCTCTCCTATGTGGATTTTGAAATCTGCCCTTGGTACTCAATTCCCTGTTGAGTGGAGTTTCACTTTTTTTTTTTTTTTAAGATGGCATTTCTTAATAGCAAGATAAAGATATTCGGTGCTTTATAATGTAAATTGTATTAATTAGAATGTCAACTTTTCACTGGCATTGTTCTGACAGAAATTCTAATCTGTGTTTAAACAGGAGTATATGAACTTTATTTCACATTAAGTGTGCTGTCTTAATCTTCTTGATTTAATATTTTATGGAAAACACACACTTAGTTTTTGAGGTCCCAGAGGGCACGGGGGCATAAAGGGCACTTTAGATTATTTGTTGAAAATGAGGCTAGGAGGATAAGAGCCAAGATCCTTTTCCTTCGGGAATTGAGTGAGATGCCCTTGGTAAGCAATGGAAGTTCCTGTCCTCCACCCTGGTATTCCAGAGAGATCCTCACTTGACATTCTTCTGTTGGCTGCTACCTCCTTCTGGTCCAAATGTACTCGCCAGGATTTCCTGTGAGGAGGGAATGTTCTAGTTTGCATGGTCCACACAGGTGCCACTCACCAGATGTGTCAGCTGTGCACTTGAATGAGCCTCGCGCACCTGAGGAAATGAATTTATAATAGCACACAGGGCTAGTGATTACTGTATTCTATCTAGCCTTATGGAGCTGCAGAGCATCTTACAGGTGGCTGTCCAAATTGTAGGCATCCGTACCTGCCTCGTAATGACATTCTTGTCTAAAATATGGGAATCATTACCTACTTTGCTGCTGATCTGCAGTGTAGAGTTCTGTAGCGAAGTGTCCTTCTTAAGATATTTTTCTTTAAAAATAAATGTTTCTTCCCAGTGATTAATACTCTCTTGGGTGAGTTTCCTTCATAATTATTTCCTATTATGTTAGTTGTAGTAGAGATGTGAAAGAGATGACATAGGAACATCAGCTTGACTTCAAATAGTGACAGACTGTGATAGCCAGAGCTATTATCTGGATATTAAATAATAACTTTAGATTTCACTTTCTAAATAATAAAAAATAATATTCTGCGGTCACTGGTGACCTAGTGTGTATGGATTGCTATTCAGTGATATTTAAGAACAATCATTAAGTGTTGTTGTACGGAGTATTCTGTGTCTATTACTTTAGACACATTCTGTGGCTCAAACATCTTTCAAATTTGGAGTTTTTTCTAAGAGTGTATATATACATTGTGTTCCTGACCAATATTGTCACTTAGATTTCTGTTCCATTTCTTTACTGTCATGCTGGGTTAACATGAATTTTTTTCTCAAAAGAAGGGAAAATTTCCACCTCCATATACTTAGGGATTTATATTTCTTAGTTCATCATACCTAAATCATTACTGTTGTTTAATAAGTGAGCAGGTGGAAGTTGCAAGGCTAAGCAGTAATCGAGGTAACTATACAAGTTTATTTAAAGATATTTATAGGTTCTATAATCTAACATTAAATAAACAAAGGATCAAGCCTCTAGAATAAAATTCTCCCCTGGTATAATGATACCTTTCAATATTTATTGTAACAAAATAAACATTAAAAACAATAAAAAGTTGTACATTTCTCTTTTGATACTTAATTTGATTATTTTCCATGATGGTAACCAAAGGTTTTTACCAACACAAATCAATTAAAGCTTTATAATACCTTTATGAAAGATGTGAAGGAGCTTTATTTTAGCTGTAAGAAATACTGTGAAATTGCAATGATACATCAATGATTTTCCATGATAATTAATCATCTGCTTGCAACCTGGCTGCTCCTTTCAAAAATACAATTCCTATCTTCCTAGAAAATGACATTTTCAGGAAAATGTCATTGTGGAAGGTATTTTGTGAGTAATGAACATTCCCATTTTTTGAAAACTACTTTTCAAATGGCACTGTGTGGATACACCTCTGGACAGACTCCCTTTTCTCTGTCTCTTCTCTCACCTCTGTCCTTTTCCTGCCACCTTTTTTTAAAAAAGAACTTTATTATTGTGGTATCATTGGCATACAATAAATGGCATATTTTAAAGTATACCATTTTCTATAAGTTTTGACAATTTGATGACTAGATGCCCATGAAATTATCACCAAATTCAACATAATGATCATCTTCATTGCCCCTTAATGACACTTCATAATTCTCCTTGCCCTTCCGCATCTTCTTCTCAGTTTTCAGGCAGCCACTGATATCCTTTATATGATAATCAGATCAGTTTGTACTTTCTCAAATATCACACAGATTGAACCAAACAATGCCTATTCTTTTGGGGGGTGGGTTGCGTTGGTTTCTTTCACTTACCGTACTTATTTTGAGATTTATCAGGTTGTTGAATGGCTGGGTTGTTCTTTTCTTTTGATTGCTGAGTAGTGCTCCGTTGTATGGATGTACCAATCTCTTCATCCATTCACATGTTGATGGACATTTAAGCTATTTCCCTCCACATGCTTTTTAAATGACTAAATTTGAGGAGAAGCGTAATACACAGAATATACTAAATATACTATAGATTTCTAAGAAAACTAATTTTTTCTTTAAGAGAATTTATAGGCTCTTCAAAGTCAAAGTGCTTATGCAGAAAGCAGCAGAGCAGTCACGCAGTGTTTCCCTCTGTGAATTCCATTTCCTATCCACTTTTTCCTGAAAGGATAACTCTGTTCTCCCCTGCCATTTTGTGTATGTCTAACTCACCAAATAGGCTTATGGCGTAAGTGATCAACCCCACAATATCAAACCAGAAATTCCTTTATCTATAACCAATGAGAATATTCAGTGGCAGAAAGTGAAGCCAACCCAGTTCCAGACAACTGTGTAAGATTTATGCAAAAGAACTCATCAGAAAGATCTGTTTTAAACTTGGGAAGTAAAATTGCATAGACAGCACCATGTTATTTTTTTGACAAACATTAACTAACTGCATAAAAATAGTCTTGGGAGAAAAACATTTTTAATTCCATTTGATAAATGAAAAACATGGGAGAAATAGTGACTCTAGGTTCAAGTTCATGTATATCAAGTACCAGTGATTACAGGGCAGCTATTTATGTCCTAAGAATACATGGTGAATAAACTTGATTTGTTTATTTCAGAGATTTTTCAGTCTAAAGATTATAACCATAGATTAGGTATAACTAATATAATTCTGATCAGTAAACGTTTTGTAGAAGAAGTGAGGTATTTTTAGTACAGGGGAAAATTTTATTGATTCTTCTTAGATAAACAAAGATTCTAAAGTTAATTTGATGTGAACCTCAAAGGACATAGACAATTTTTCTGGCTAGTGACAGAGAGATAGAATTAGAAGAACATTTATAGGTAAGATGAGGGAGGTATAATGAGGCACCTGGTATGGCCGAGACCAAGCTGCAATTCTGCAGGTTGGGGCTGGGTGGGAAAGTAGATTGAGAGACTTTCTTTTTTTTTTATTATTAATTTTATTGAGACTTTCTAACATCGCACTTTTTGCTGGAGGCAATGAGGACTCCTTGAAGGCTTGGTTTTGTTTCAAAACAGAGGAGTGACACAAATTAGCTATAAATCCCATGGAAGTCGGAGCAGCCTGACATAGGTTAACTGAATGAGGTTTAAGATGGGTTCGCTTGAGAGAATAATTAAAAGGATAATAGAAAATGAGGTTGAGTATAGTATTTGATACACTAGGACAGACAAATGGTAATCAATTTTAAAGCATTGTTTTGAACTAGATGTATATAATAGGACATAAAATTCAAAAGGGACACAGAAAAACAGTAAAAATCAAAAGGAAATCTCTTGTCACTTTTTC